AACAGATTATTATCACGTGGACATCACTATCAAATCCATGTGTTGATGATTTTGTTGGAATTTATTTTGTTGAAATCGATCTTTCAGCAGGTAAATTAAGAAGAGGAAGAATCTTTTGATTGTGTAAAATATTGTTTTATCTTGTCGATTAGCTTGTGATTATTTCGATTATGAATTTGTTAAATCTGGTCAAAGTCAAACATCGTGGCAAATGACAAATTTACGTCGTTCACTTGAATTTCGTTACTATTCTCGTGATCGAAATTGTTTTGGAAATTATTCGTTAATTGCTCGATCACCAACTGTCCAACCATCGAATATCAATGAACCAACACATGTTCATTTAGCTTATGGAGATCATATTGATGAAATCTACGTTTCATATTTGACTAATTCTTCGGATTTTCTTCCACAATGTCAATATGGACTGAATCCATCATCATTAAACTTGCAAAAGTCTGGCACAAGCACAACTTACACAGCATCAGATATGTGTGAAGGCAAAGCTACAGAATGGGGACCACAAACATTTATTCATCCTGGTTTTATGCACACAATTCTCTTAACGAATCTTGTCCCGTCAACAACATATTATTATCGTGTCGGAACTGATCAACATGGTTGGTCAGAGATTTATTCGTTTCGAAATCGTCCATCGAATAAAGATGAATCGGTCTATTTGATTGCATATGGTGATATGGGTGTTTCACCTGTTGAAAGTGGTGCAAAATCGACAATGGATCGAGTTGCAGCACGTATTCAATCGACGAATGTCACCTGTTTACTTCACATTGGTGATATTAGTTATGCACGTGGAATTGGTGCACTATGGGATGCATTTATGACACAATTACAACCTGTTGCAGCACGTGTTCCGTATATGGTTGGAATTGGAAATCATGAATACGATCACGAGACTGGAGGTAACAAAGATCCCAGTGGGGCATCGGGTCCAGGTGGATTTCGACCAAAATGGTATTTGAATTTGATGAAAGAAGAATAAGAAAGAAAAGTTTTTCTTTTAAAAAGGGGAAATTATGGAACAGATTCAGGTGGTGAATGTGCTGTACCGATGGTTCGTCGATTTCATTCTCCATCTAATGGCAATGGTCTCTTTTGGTATAGTTTTGATGTTGGTCCAATTCATATCATTTATTATTCGACAGAACATGATTTTCGTCGAACATCATCTCAATATCAATGGATTGAAGAAGATCTTCGTTCAGTGAATCGTTCTCGTACACCATGGTTAATCGTTGGTTCACATCGTCATTTCTACACATCAGAATCCGAATCGCCCACTGATTTGATTAAATTGATGCTTCGATTATATTTAGAACCATTATTTTATCAATATCATGTTGATGTGAATCTTTATGCACATCGTCATTCGTATGAAAGATCATGTCCAANAGAAAACCGCAAATGGAAAACCAGTAGTGTGGAATTTTATCCTTTACTGCAGAGATCAATCTCAATATAAAACTTATCGTTATAAGACTTTACCATTAGCTCCTTCAATTCCTGATTCTATCAATCAGCTCAAAGAACAAGCTGATCAAGGTTATCTTTTTGTTATGACACCGCTTTTCGGTGAAAGTGATTGGGTCAATTTTTATTTGGATTGGAAAACAGCAAAAAGCGACGCTTTGGATATCGATGGAGGATTTTAATTGCACATTTTCTTTCCTTACTAATCCTTTTATTCTTTTAGAAATAAAATAATTCATAAGTAATTTGAAGCGAAGTTAAATGTATCTTCTCGATAATTATACGAAGAAAGCAGCACAGTGGAAAAAAAGTACATTAAGATATTGTAGTTGTGTCACTTAGTGAGATTTGTTCATCTTCTGTGAGCCGATTGACAATTGATATAATCTGCCATTTATGAGAAAATACCGCTTTGTAGACCATCTAAAGCGAGAAGTGGTCTTTTTAAAATGTGAAAAAATCACAAGACTCATCCGATTCGCGAATATTTATTTATAAAATATGATTATAATTAATGGTTTTCGAGGTAAAAATAATTATAATCAACAAAAAGATTTGTTCCATACGCATCGTTATGATATTTTACGTAGATCTCTTTTGGTACATGAACCTTTTTTCATTATGATCCATTCCTTAAATAATTAATAAGATTATTTAGAATTCTTTATGAATATTCAAATATTTGTAAAGGCGATTTCTTATCTTGTTATTCAATAAATACGACGATTCTTGAATAATGAAAATGAAACAACTAGATATTTCTCGCGCATTTCCGATGAGTTTGTTCTACTTCTGACAAAATATTCCATACGGACTTTTTCACTTTGATTTTCGAATAAGTTTCAAATATATTTCATTCTTCCTGCCTCTCTCTCTCTCTCGTATTCAAATGTCTTTGACTTAATTAAAGACCTTTTCAAGATTCTTTCTGTCATGGGTCCTTTCTTTCTTTTTCGTTTTCTCGTGTCCAGCTTACGTGTAACTACTAACCGTTGATTTTATTGTCTATGCAGTATTGTTACACGAATAAAGCTTTGTTACCAAAAAAAAANTATTTTCTCTCCATGCCTCTCACGTTTCTTTTACAAGGACAAAAGACATACGTCATGGGTCCTTTCTTTCTTTTTCGTTTTCTCGTGTCCAGCTTACGTGTAACTACTAACCGTTGATTTTATTGTCTATGCAGTATTGTTACACGAATAAAGCTTTGTTACCAAAAAAAAAAAAAAAAAAAAAAAAGATTCTTTCTTTTCATTAGTCTAAACATTGAAAGAAAAAAACAAAGAATAAAAATTTAATTTCTGTGTTTTTATCATAAATGTCTAATTCTCCCATTAACCGGAAAACACACTTTCCCCTTCAATCTTGTTTATCTTCTAACTTCTGCACTTTGTTCTTTTTCATATTTATTCTATAATCATCATTATCATAAAAAAAACATCGAGTTGCTATTTGATTGTATGGCTGAACATATCGATCATCATTTAGTCGAAACAAATCTTCGCCATCGATTCGAATATTTAGCGAAATTCATCAATTTTACTACCGATGATATTCTCATGCTTAATAGAATTGGTAAATTTACAGCTTCAATGTTACCGGATATAGTCGATCAAATCTTTCAACGATTTCTCGATTTCGATATTACAAAACGTTATTTTCTTATGCGACATTTTGGTTATACAGGAACTGTTACTGTTAATGAATCCGAATTAACTTTATATTCAGAACAAATGTGTTTTCGACGAACAACTTTTGTTAAATATTTGAAAAGAATTCTTCGACAGAAAGTTTGGAATGATGCTTTCCTCGAATATTTATCTTATGTTGGAAAAATTCATACAAGAATGGCTGGTTCACATTCGATTGATGTAGATTTTATTCATATTAACATTTCATTCGGCTTTGTTGAACATATTTTACTCGATGTTGTTCTTTCCAATGAACAAATTGATGATAAAACAAAGAAATCAGCCATTCTTGCTTTGAATAAATTCTTCTGGATTCAAAATGACTTTTTCTCAATGCATTATACGAAACAATCAAACACATCACGTTTCTCATGTTGTTTTCCAAATATACAAATTGGATGTTCGGCAATTTGAATTAATATTCAAAGAATTTCAAGATCGTCTTATTAATAATCGAGATTAATATCTTATTTCATAATTAATTTATACAAAACTCAGAGATTTTTAACAGATGAAATGTTAAATAAACATCATGGAGAAGATCCAACATTCATTGTAGTTTTTTTCCTTTTCTACTCGTTTGACATTTATTCATTTTGTGAATAATATTGTATACAAATTGTTTCAAATGACATCGACCATCATCTTTATCTTCTTCTTTAAGAAACTCGACGTTCTCACAGATCATTTTGACGTAATTTGCGAGGAGAAATACTGTTTTAACTAATTCATAACGTTCAATTTCGGACATATATTATCAAAATAGTAGAAGATGAACGACAAAAATAATAAATCTAAACATACTTTTGTTTTCTTCAATGGAAACTCGGATTCTTTCAACGAATAATGGGTGTGGGTGAAGCTTTCTAAGGTTATGTATTTCCATATGATTATCAATTATTCCAAACTGTTCATTCATCCGTAAAGAAAAGCAACCTCAATAGTTCATTTTATTTACACAGTCACGAGAAAAAGATATGAAAATGACATGACATGTCTTGTTCTGATTCAATCAACTCATCCATTGTTAAAATTGTTTTATAAGAAAGTAATCACGTGTGTAACATTTATTGTGCGTTCTACTTTACGACTGAACATGTCAAGAATAACTTTTTGAAAAAATAATTTTCGATATCGATTCGGATATTTGGGGAATTCGTTGCTCTACTGACTCTGAATGGGTTTGATTAGATTTTTTAATGCCTTTTACATTTGTTCTGTCTTTAACAAAGCATCATAATTGTCGTCGTTTGTTTATCATTGTTAAAAAGTCTTTTTTCGCGAAAGAATTATCTTTAACCTGAAATTGATGAAATAAACGAGTTCGATTGTTCGATTCAATGAATGTACAAACATTCGACTATCGATGTTCTTTGTCAACACGACATCGTCAACAAATCAAAAATAGAAACTCCAATCCAAAAATCCCTGTCGGATAGATTTATCTATTAATAAATGAGATCTACTCAGAAAAATATTAATTAATACGATCGAAAGAGATTTCCAAGTGAAATGTGTTTATTAGTATCGTATCTGACGATGTGGGAAATGTCTGGAAAACTTTTTCTTCTTGCAATTTTACGCAGAAACGATCTTATCTTGACTTTTTCTGTAAAAGAAAACGATCGTGTCCCTTTCCTCTCCAGTAAATTAGAATAAACAGAAAAATGAAGGAATTGAAAGATACATTCAACAAGTATGACTCAACATGTTAACAGCAAATGAGTAGAACACAATCTTCGACATCGATTCGAATATTTAGCGAAATTCATCAATTTTACTACCGATGATATCGCCACACTTAACGTTCTCGGTAAAATGGCGTCTGGATTGGTTCCAATTATTGTTGATAAGATTTTTCAACGACTTTTGGATTTCGATATCACAAAACGTTATTTTCTTATGCGACATTTCGGTTATGCGGGACCGGTGACTGTCAATGAATCCGAACTCACATTAGAATCCGAACAAATGTGTTTTCGACGAACGAGTCTCGCCAAATATCTCAAAAGAATTCTTCGACAGAAAGTTTGGAATAACGCTTTTCTCGAATATTTATCTTATGTTGGAAAAATTCATACAAGAATGGCTGGTTCACATTCAATTGACATTGATTTTATTCACATCAATATTCTTTTTGGTTATATCGAACATATTTTACTCGATGTTGTTCTTTCCAATGAACAAATTGATGATAAAACAAAGAAATCAGCTATTCTTGCTTTGAACAAATTCTTCTGGATTCAAAATGACTTTTTCTCAATGCATTATATTAAACAAACGAATACGAATGAAGTGAAATGTTGTTTACCGAGAATGACAAGTACGCGAATCGGTTGTTTGCAAATTTAAAAATTCTGTTTTCTTTTTATAAAAACAAAAATAAATTTTCCATGAATTTTCTTTCAAATGTTCATCAATGAAAAACTTTGATCTTTGCTCTTCACACATTTGGCCAGTTAATACTTTGCGAACCCTTGAAAGTTGAAAGAATACTTTTCTAATTAATTCAAGATTTGACAAGATTAACAGAAAAGAAAGGAAATTTCTAAGTATTCTCATAGTTGTTGCTTTATATAAACAATGAGGAAGTTGAATATCTTCATAAATATCAAAACGATCTTGTTGAATGAAAATTTCTCTCATGAAATTGCTGGCAGAAGATGTTTTTGGTCAAAATTTGCTTTTAATTAGGCAAAATATGACAAACGGAAGTGTGAAAAAAATTTACTCGAAAAGCATAAACAAACATCCGTTGACAACAGAACATAAGTTGTTATTTCTACCGAAACATGACCATGAAAAGCGGATGTGACGTCATTAACATCGACATATCTTCTTTATTCGAGAAAATTCCACGAAGAATATCCGAGGAAGAGATATTCCCCGATGGTAAAAACGCAATTATATCGATATTCATCAAGATAAACTTGATCTAATAGCTATACGATTGGTTTAGAAAAGAGTAATAAATACATATACAATGATGTTCCGCATGATTGCTCGATCAGGTGTCATATAAATATGTTGTGAAATGTTTTCTTTTCATTCTATTACATATTTTGTGAGTGACTGTTGATTTTTGTGCGATTCAAAGACTATTCAACAATGAATTATGGAATGGGTTATCACATAAAACCATTGGTTCGTCAACAACGTCATAATAAGTGAGTTGGATTATTCTCGTAGAATGATTAAAAGTCAATTTTAATATATTTTAGTCCTCGTCAAAGACAAGCAGCACCTGCTCATCGACATCAAAATATTGAACGTCCAAGTAATATTTTCTTTTGTTGAATTTTATTGATATTTACAATGAAATTTAGAACCTCCATCACATTCAATCGCTCCTTGGGATATAACACGATGGGTCGATCCAATTCATACTACTCAAGTTCCAAAAGGTCCAATGTAAACATTCGTAGTTTTTCTCTATAAGAACATTTTTGAAAGCTTTTTTTCTTCTTGCATAATAAATGACGAAATATTGAAATATTCGTTTTCAATCAATCAAAGGTTAGACTGACTCATGTTTTTTAATTATTTAGAAATTAAAGAAAGAGGAAGTCTGTCATTTAATATTCACTGAATTAATCATTCGAAATTTATATGAAAAAACAAAATTATCAGACAAATCGATTAAAACAGGGCGGAGAAAACATAATTGAAAACAATCGCGTCATATTTCGTTTGGTTGGATGAAAAGTGACGTGGAACGTGAAGAAAGTTCATCAAGGTATCAGTCGAACTGTCGTACTCAGATTTGCTTTGAAAGTTATATGTTTAACAAAAACAAAAATGTAGAAGAAAATGCTTTTAGAAAATTGGACTCTCGTGGAGAATTTGATCGATTTTGAAATGAGAAAACAATGAAATAAATGTTTATTGATTAATAATTAACAAAAAAAAGGAACACATTTGAGCTCAAAAATATTTTCTAAGAAAAATAAATAGAAGTAGATATGATTTCAAGAAAATCTTCTTCGTAAATCTTCAATAAAACTAAAAAGAAAAATAATAATAATGAAGAAGAAGATTTGTGTATAAACTCATTTGTACTTTTGTTTTATTCTACTTCTATTCAAATGAAATAATTCTTATTCATACGATTGTTCAAAAGTTAATGTTGGTGTAATATTTTCATTCCACCAAATGTTAATTTCATTGAAGAAATAAACAATAATTAGATTACAAAGAACTAAAATAATAAGACATAATTGAACAATGATTGGTCTTACAAATTCTTCTTTTGTTTTTCGAGATTCTTCACAATTTTGTTCGATCTGAAATTAACCATTGAAAAATTCGATTTGATAAGTTTCAGAAACTTCAGGATAAAATAAATCGTGATTACTGACGGATCTTCTTTCTGATATTTTATTATTATTTTTTGTCAGCGATTGAGATAAAGATTGAAGTTCACTGTCTGTAACACGCATTCGTTCTAATAAACGATTGTATTGTTCGATCGTTTCATCGTGTCGTTTTCCGGGTTCGTAAAAGTAACGTTTTCGAAAATATTTTTCTTCTTCTTCTCTTTTGTAACTTATTTCGTATGTCGGTTTATGTGAGATCAAAGCATGTTGACAAGGTTCGTTTAATGAAGGACGTGGGGACGGAAATTGAGTTGATTGAGATTTGTGAAAACAGATTGGAATTGATACGACTGACGATGAAGATGGTTCGATCGATTTTCTAAAGAAAAACTTGGAGGAAATCGATGAGAAGATCGGAATTTACCTTTTGGTTGGAATTGGTGTTTCTCGTTGTCGAGCAGGTGACCAAGAAACATGTTGTTTTCGAATTGATTGTCGTTGTGATGGTCGAACAGATTGATTTACTGAAGTTTGTGAATGAAGACTCAATGGTGTTGATGTTTGTGTTATTCGATGACGTGGAAGCGATCGGGAACGTGGTTTTGTTGGAAGAGGAGGTTCTCCTCGATATGGTTTGATGTAATATTGAAGTCGAGATGGACGTGAACGATTTCTTGGTGACATTCCATAAGAATTATCGGGATCGAATATATTCATTGTTTGACTAAAAAGTGATCGAGGATAAATTGAAGATGAAGATGGATCTTGTTTTGCTGTTAATTCAGCTATATGTTGAATATCAGCAAAATCAGAACGTTTAGTTGTATTTTCTTTCTTCTGTGACGATGAACAAGCTGAAGGACATGGAGACAAAGAACGAGCTTCTGATTTCTTTTGTGATTTTTTAAGAATCGATTTCATTGGCTCCTTCTAAATCATTCATTTATTGATCAAACAAAAGATTTCCGCTTGAATGACTTACATATGAACGATATTCATTTGGAAATTCATTATGATAAAAGTGTTTTGTAACTTGATCTTCTGTTGCCATTACCTTAAAATACGGTTCACTTTTAATCACATTTGTTTGGTTTATTGGTGAAAGTCGATCGTTTTCTAATGAATAAGCAAAATCAACACGTACTCCACGTCGATTCGAATTGGATTTCAACATCTTATTTTTCACCTAATTTCAATCAAATTCCATCCGTTTCATTAAACAAATTCGTTCTTATTCTTTACCTGATTGTTTGTTTGTTGTTGTTCTTGTTGAACATCAAATTGAATGAAAGTTGAATCCTCGTTTTCATCATTCATTCTTCGTCTTACCGCAAATATGAAATCTAAGCAAAAGAAAAGAAAAGAAATGATTTGACAATGTATCGTAAGCAGCTGTTGCGTTTCCCTTCATTTTCTTTTTTTCTCAATCGTTTATCGATCGTTTTCACAACGTATTTTTCCTTACAATGATGAGCGACCTTGTAGTCACATCTGTTGTTTATCCTTTTCATTCAATCAACCTTTTATCAGAACATATCTTTATGTTGATTTACAATAATAACTTTTAAAAAAAACAAGCTCAAGTTAAATATAACTCGCATTTCAATGATCATTATGCTTCGTGATGGGAAAAGATACTTTTGTTAGTCGAGAACGAGTGAAGATACGAACAGAGAATGAACAAAACGACTCGACAATAATGTTTTATTTCATTTGTTTAAAGTCTATCGGAATCGATTGTTATTCTTCGCTGTTATTGACTCGATTTACAATCGAGAAGAATTTCTTTTGTTCAAAAACAAAAAAAGGTATCGAAAAATAAACTCGAAGAATTGTTGTAAAAAAAGATAACTGAGGTCATTTTCTATTTCAGAAGATTAAAAAGTACGTTCGATCAATTAACTTGACTAGTTGAGATGTGTTACATTACGAGTAATTATTTTCGCATTTTCATCTATATTCATAAGAATAATTATTCTACAAGGAGAAAAATACTTAATAGTCTTTTGATGGTCAATTGAATATTAATTATAAGTTATTGCAAATACTAACTCATATGTATCTTTTAAAACTTCTTCATTTTGGACATATTGACAAGTTCATACCGATTGTATATGTATAGTAGATGGCAGAAATATCCGAGAAAGAATCTAACAAAATGTATGATTGACTCAATCTAAATATCCACTGAATATTCTTTCCGTTCTGTGTCGTTATCGTAACAATATCAAGTCATTCTCATATTGAACAGAAATTTCTATGTCAGCTTCCAATTCGAAGATTCAATCTCCATCCACATCGTATTCAACTCTTCAAACTCATCTTAATTCCACAGATGATTCAACATCACGTCCAACGAGTTACGTTAGTTTATTAGATTCACATGAAACTCCAGGTAATATTTGTTATTAATACACATGGACATTGACTTCCATATCATTTAGATGCTCCTGTTTTATCATTTCCACAACGTGCCACATTGAATTGGAGTCGAACATTGGATACATTTCGTCAATGGAGTTCCAGAACATTGAAATATACGCGACAATTATTTCAAGAACGAATTGGACAAGTTAATCGAACACAAGATACGGAATTGGAACAGAAAATTCAAGTTTGTGATCGTTTTTTCGAAGTTTCTCTTTTTAATAAAGGACTGTTTTAGCTTCTTCGTGAAACGAAATGTCACTATGAACGTATCCTAAACAATGCACATCAAATGAGCACTTGCTTTGCTGGTCTTCTTAAAACACAACGTTCTCTTGGTGAGTTTTTTTCTATTGACAATTTTCATTCTAAGGAAAAACATTCCAGGTGAATCATTAAATGAATTACAAAGATTATCCGATACTTCCGAAGATCTTGTTGATCAACTTGTGAGAAATAGTCAATGTCAAAAAGTCTTAGCACTCAACGGTGATTCGCTCCTAAGTAAGAAAAAAATGTCTTTACAACACATACGTATTTCTCATTTTAATTTCAGATTCGATTAATCTGTTCGTTGATAAATTACAAACATTAACAAGTCGAACCATGGAAGATACTTTAATATCGATAAAGACATATGAAAATGCCAGGTATATTTTGATCTTTGTTTCAAAGAACGACAATTGATTTTGAATAAATATAGAATTGAATATGATGCATGTCGATATGATTATGAATTATTATTATCACGGAGTCATTCATCGGATGGAACAATATCTTCAACAGATGAACATATTCAACGACAATATGAACATTTTAAACAAATTTATGAAAAATCCAAAGAAAATCTGGAAATCAAATTAAAATTACTCGATGAAAATCGAGTATGATTTTTCAATGAATTTCATTTAAAAAGAAAAACATTATTTCGATTTAGATTCAAGTGATGAAACAACAATTATCACTATTTCACAATGCTATTGGTGCTTATTTCTCTGTCAATCGACAGTAACTTAATCTGTGAATGTTTTTACTTGAGTATATCATTTTTCTGTGTTATATTCATTGTTATTTGCCATTTTTAACAACAATCTCGGATTTTCTTTGACACGATTTGACGAAACCAAGAGTTTCTGTTTTTTTTTCATATTTATATATAAATAATTACAAGCAGAAATTCATTTTACTCACTTGATTGAAGAAGATATAATTCATTCAGAGGAAAATGAAACAATCATATTCATAATTCTTTCTACGTGGATTTTTCCACCTCCATTTGTTGTAGAATTTGATATGGGATAAACTTTGAGAAAATTTGAATTGAATTTGTTTCTTACTATACATCTATGTATAAAGAGCATAGATGTCTCTACCGTCTTAATCATAAGTGAAAATAATTTGTCATTGGTTTATGCTCTACTTCTGTCGTTTTTCTCCAAAAGACTTTCGCTTCGCTTTGAATTCAATTCAATCTTCATTGTGTAACTCTTGATCTCGAACGAAGATGCCCGATTCATTAGCAGTTCTGGTTCAACAACAACGTGAACATTTATCACAATTACAAAATCAACTCTTAACAGTAAATCCGATTGTAGTGCAATTCATTGTTCTCATGTCCCAATTTTCTAGAGTCCACAGAACAATATTTCGGTTGATTTCTACAAAGAGTTGATGGTCACATATTTATATTTGTCAAAAGTGTAAGTCGAAAACTCAGCTTTGTTTATTATTGATGAATATTTCAATGAAATTAGAACCGAAGCGAAGTTTCTTTGGGAAAATCTTTCATCACAAATGAAAGCGGTAAGAAAAACCACTTTGAAAACTAATTTCATATTGATCTTAAATCAATTAGGATAAGGATTTACAATTTTTGGCGCAACTTGTATCGTTACTCAATCTGAAACAGTATGGAGATTTTTATAAACTATGCCAAACGTCATTGGAAGGTGGTTCATCGTCGGAAATGAATCACTTTGTTCAAAAATTAGTTTGTTCGTGTCTTCCTTCAGTCGAAATCAAGTCAATAAAACGAAATGTTTAATTTATTTGTAGCTCAAATAACCATCCAGAATGTCCAACTTATTGAACTTGCTTACAAATCGATTTCATTCGATGACTTGCAGAAACTATTTGGTTTAAGTAAAAAAATGGTCGAACAAATTTGTAATGAACGTCAGTGGCAAGTCGATGCAGGTGGTGTTTATGTTCTTCCAAAACGCAATGGTAAGTTAACATTCAATGCATTTCGATTGAAAAATATTGCTTTATCTTCGTTGATTTAGATGTGTCGACTGTATCAAATTCTAATTTGGCGAAATTAGTCGAACTTGTTTGTTTCTTAGAACGATAAACTACTAGTTCTTTCCATCAATTCATTTTTCTATTTTAACCAAGAAAAAAATCTTTTTCATCTAAAACCTTTTGTCTTAAAAAGCATTTGGAAAGTGACATGACAAATATCTTTTATATCTCAGCGTCGTGAGGATGAGAGCGATTTAGAAAAGTATTCGTGTTAGTGGTGATTCGATACTATATGAAAATAAGTTTATTGCGAAAACGTGAAAAGATGATCGTAATGAACAACAAAGAATATATTGTCGTTCCCTTTCAGTTCGTTTTAATAAAAAACTTTGTTCATTGTAATTGATAGGTACTTCGTCTATTTTCCTTTGCATATGTTTACATCGAGAAGATAAATTAAATATATCGACTGTTTCCTTTTCATTATTTATACTAAGCAGTTTTCGTTTTAAACAACTGCAGTTTAATTCTCTTTCTCGTAGAAAAGAGTCTAAGAAATATAAATTGTTTGCTTGCATGCCTACGGGGTCAAAAAAACATCGAAAGTCGATTTTTCGGGAAAGACATCTCCAGGGATATTTCAATGCGAAGACTTCGAATCTGATGTCAGTTTTTACTGATTAGTAGCTGGTACTAACTTATTAGTAAACTATTAGTACGAATTACTATTATCGATTTTCGAGAAAAAGATATAACCATAGAATACCGGCTATAGTCAAGCGTATTAGTATGATAAAGAAAACATTATGTTCGATATCTAGTGACGTAATAATTAACAAGTAGCGCTCATCCTTTGAATTCGCTGACCCTTTTCTGAAAGAATTGTCCCAGTGCTGACCACATTCAAACACTTTGAAAGACAACTAAGGCACTGCGATTGCTACTGGTCCTCAACTGAACCATGGCATTATGTCATACACTAGAGTGAATAGAAGACAGAGATTGTTCTTTTTCAGGAACCGAACCGATTAACTATTTTTCAGTGAGTAATTCTCGAGAACTAACTGGGTTGACTGAAAACCCCATCCCTCAATAGCTAGTCGTTTGTCAACCTCCCTCCGGTTGGCCACTCACGACCAGCCATCCACCTTTTTCATCTGTTGTTCTATTTTCACATTACTCGCCTGAAAATTTTACGCATTAGCCTGTCTCTTTTCTCTGCTTTCAACAAAATAATGCCTTCTCGAATATTTTCATTGAGGAATATACATTTGCCAAATCCTTTTCAAAAATCGTTGAAGCTTGATAAGGCTATTCCAAGTGTACACTTTACGATTGGTTTCCCATTTTCACGCCGAACAGTTGGCCCGCTCATAACTGATCGGTTTCTCAGCCGAGATATTGAAACTTTACATAATAGTGTGATTTTTGTCACAGATTCTACTCTTCTTTCCACTTGCGGAACTCGATAATTGAGTGGTCTCGTTCTCAAAAAAAGAGTATTAGTTAAATTTTTTTAAAGATCATTTAAACTATCTGTGTCTTTCAACTCTCATTTACACTGAGTCGGTCTGCAATCGAAGCTGTCAAAGTTCGACATAACTGTGCGATTTACAGGACATTTTCTATTACTCTTTTCAATTTAAAGAGCTGATAATCTGCAGGACTTATTCTCGAAGCTCGAAAGACATCAGTAGTATTCGTTAAAAAATCATTGACATAAACTGAGACTCTTACAAATCTCATCTCTCAAGTAGTTTTTGAAACAAACGTCTAGTCGTTCGTCGACCTCTCTCCTGTCGGTCACTCACGACTAGCCCTTGCCAACCTACCTCTGTTATGCCTTTCACATTTGACTAACTTTTAAACTGAATAACTGTGCTTCATTTCATTGTGGCTTCGAAAGTGCTGATCTTCCATCTATTTGATCCTGAAAAGAAAATAGATAAAAGTGTTATTTTATTATTTGCTGTGAAAAGAACACGCATCATAATGCACCCTATATTTAGAAGACACAAATGGTATTAAGCTTATAACACTTTTTATGATTTCTTGGACTAGAAATATCATGATGTATGGTTTTATTAAATCTTCTTCTTTAAACTTCTAAACTACTCTATTGATCCACATCACATCTAGCAGTAGCGTTGGAACCACTATCTTCTACAAAAGATTTTAGAACGATAGAGAAAAATATCTCTTCTGAAAAAAACGAAAGAAGCCGAAGGTTCGTGACTAAGAAAAAACTAACGTGATTATAACGAACTTGAGAAGAGAAGTGCCCGTGATATGATGACACACACTTTATTTGGCTTCTTTACGTAACAAGCTCCTGTTTACTTACGAGATACACGCTTATATAGGCAATAGAGAACAATGGATATCAGCCAAGTATAGCGGTCATGCTAGTGTCGACGAGTCAAGGTCGCATACAGTTCAGAATATAGCAATATATCCCGTTACAGTCATATTTGAGTTCTTCGACCTCGATGTCCTTCGGTCAACCCTTACTCGGCAAAAAAATTTTTCTCCTTACTTAATTAGTCAGTTAGCTAATTAGTTAATTAGCATTTTAACGACCGTATTTTATATGCTATAACTCTTTTTGTTGCAGAAAAGAGAATTAGAAACGAATTAAAAATAAGTAACGAGTAATCGAGCTTCCAGAATCTGCAGAAATCCGCTAGGAAAAAGATCGGATTTTGTCGGATGCCAGAAATGCTACGAATCTTGGACTTTCGGCGTATTCCCATCGCATCCGCTGGAGTTTACTCGCTCTGAGCAACCATCCTTTAAAGCTTAATTAACATTGGGAACCTCAAACTTTACATTAGCTTCTTCTTGTGCACCTTGTTTTTCGAATCTTATTCGATATATGATCTACTTGAAATGAGATCTTTCCGATCTATTATAAGTATGCGTGAACCTGTTGCTTTTCTGCGCTGCAAAACAGATCATAATGTGACGTACAGTAGGATGTCATTGGTTTTAAACATGGTATAAAGTTAAACGTGTTTATTGAATTGGAATAGAAATAGAAAAACATAGGATATTATGGATAGGTCATGATAATCGACTAGGCAAAAACGACTTTTTTCTTACAAAGAGACAAGTCTCTGTGTTGTTTCAAGTATGCTGAACGATATATTTCTAAC